ATGCCAGGCAGTCAAAAGACGTAGTTCACCAAACTTTCGTCAACCATCCGAGCGCGAAACCACGCAGCAAGAGTAACCTGAGGACAACGCACGCTCCAACAGTTGAAGGACCCACGCAGTAAAAATCCAAATATTCTAACTCCGTAATCCATACGCAAAAATACAGGAGAAAATACAATGACGCGTGATGTTTGCTGCTCGCTCCTCCGTTCTCCCGTCAACAAAACACCGGGAGACCGGAAGAAAAAAAAAATCTCTTCCGCATCCTGGCCTCAACTCGCGGGCCAGTGTGGGGAAATTGGAAAAAAAAGACGAAAAATTCCTAACACCGAACCCCCGGGCTGAAAGGAGCACCTCTGGCCCTCCCACAATGCACGCCTGGGTTGCGGAGAGGTGAGGAGTTCATACAAGATTAAATGTGTTCTGTGAGATCTCACCGGTCAAATACACAGAACATTTCAAAACTCGCTGAAGCCAAAAATAAAAGTGTCCATCAGCGACGCTCGGTGGTCGTGAAGCTCAGCTCAACTGCCGGAGCCCTGTTTTCAACTTTCCCAGAAAACAAAAAAAGGATTCTGAACTCGGAAAAAAAAAGGTGTTTTATTATTTTGCAATAAAGTTAGAAGGCTGCGTCCATCGCCACAGACCCCTCCTCTCCTCCTCCACCAAGAACCTACGTCCTTCATATCCACCCCGACTCCCTCACCATTAACACCCACCCCCCTCGCCCCTCCGAACCATCTTCCCTCTTTCAGCACTATCCTGGATCCAAAACCTCGCGACTTATCGTTAGCTTCCAAAACCACACACCAATCATTGTTTCTGCGCGTTTTCAGTCCCAAGGCACCTTCTCCCCTGGATCCTGAACAGGAAGACAGGAGAACACTATCGAATCCCCAACGTTACGGAGCGCTGGAAGCTGTGCCACGACAAAAGAAGCGACTCGACTCCAGCATTGGGGGACTCTCTTTCCCATGAAATAACATTTCCCAGCCACATGGATTACTTTCCAGGTGTTACTTATATTATTAGGTGTTCCATGACTCGGAAAACTATCTTTACCGGCTTTTTCCCGGATCTCCATCCCTTCAAACAATCAAAGATCAGAAATTCATCCCTCATTGCTGTGTCTTCCAATTTGCTGCTTGTTAGGTTGTTCGCCAAGTTGTCTGGCGCACCGCACACAAAAGCCTGGCATCATTTGATCAAACTGTAGCTCGAAAACCTAAAGCGAGTCTGAGACGCCCGTAAACATACACACAGCTACTTATCCTGCCTCCCCACGGTTCCCATCCTCAATCTTTTTAATCTCCTCCACTACCTTCGCACCGAACCGATTAAAAGCAACTTCACAAACACACCACCTCGCCGCCCGAGTGTCACGCTTACTGTGGACATGTACGGCACACGCGCTTCCGGTCACCACTTACTTTCCAACGACATCCTTTAACCTTGTTTGTTGACCGAGCCAGGCTACTGGCCTGATTGCAGCTCGCAACAACCACACCACCCAACACCACACCAGATTATTTCCCCAATGGGAGAAGGAAAGAAGAAGTTCTGATACCCAACACTTTTTCAGTCTTTATCGGCTTTTATCTTTTGTCTTCTTTCATGTTTTATTCTCTCAGGCTTTGGCTCAAGCCTTTATTTTAATTGAAACCTAAATGTATGGAGGTAGAAGTACTTAAGTAGCCATTACACCATATCATGACTGGCAATACTCAAGTAGCTCTGAGTTGTATAAGAGTCAAGCAGTACTGTGAGTAAAATGTATTCTTTACATTCCACCACTCGGAACCCGCTTTCACAATGCTGGTAACACCAATGAGACTCCGCCTGTTTGGTGATTGATGAGGCAGCGGGGGTTGGTGGGGGAGGGGGGAGGGGGGCTTGTACTACCATTTAAAAACGTCATTGCTTCTGAGTAACTCTAGCTAGAAACACCTAGAAAACCTTTGCCAGACAAATAAAACACATTACTTACATAAAAGTCGTTATTTCCATGTCATTGCAGCTGTCTAGTAATGAAAACTCTGGAAGAAACACGTTTACATTCATCCACATCAGATAAAATATTTAAAAAGTGGAAAAAAAAAATGAAATGGGATTTAAAGAAAAAAATAACCATACTGTCTGTGGAGCCAATATCTTAATAAGTTGCAACTTGATGTGACTTTGGGAAACCTTCAAGCATTTGTTTGTTATGCAAGTATAATTGTGAATGATAAACTTCATACTTCAATTGTGACGATAAAAAGCTTCCAGCTGGGAGCCGTGTTTGTGGAATGCATTGTGAGATGTAAACAATTATCAATAAAGCTTCTAGACGAAGAAAGTCCCGCCTCCTCATCTGTCTGTCAACTTGGCTAACTCATGTTAGCTCCTGTTAGCTTCAGACTGCCAAATATGGAAGTCCATTTCCATCAGGAAAGGAAATCAAAAGGATGAATGTAAAGTACAGAGTTAAAATAAAGAAACAGTGAGTCAATCAAATGTTAAAAAGTCAGTTATGTGATATGAAGTCTCGATTGCAGCAATAAGTACAACTTTACGCTAACTTTGAAGTTTTACTTATTACAACTTTCTCTCTTACATACTCGTAATTTTGGAATACAAAGTCTAGAATTCCAAATCAAGAGTAGTAGACAAAGTTGTAATATTTTGGATAATCTGTGTTCTCGTCTTTTACTTTAAACCAAAATTGAGGTGCAAATTCTAAAATCTGACTAATCTTACTGAGATACTAAGTCACAGATAAATAAGTAATTCTCCTTCAGGTTCACAATTTTTAAATCAAATAGTTTTTTCATTTGTAAATAAAGACTATTGTCATTCCTAATATGTTTTTTGGCAGAAATGGGCTTCCATAGATGGTAGAGATTTGAGTTTTCTGCTGTGTTTTTGCAAGGTATTATTGTTGACTATATATAAGTTATTACATGAACTTAAAGGTGGCTCCAAACAGCCTTCAGTTTGACGTCTCTTTAACGGCAGCAGATAAATATTTATTTATTTGTAGGGATCAAAATGATTTCTGTGCGTACTGTTCTGACTTAAGCAGATTATATCAGTGCAGTATATATAACAGTATGGATTTAACAGATCAATATTCAGAACAGCATGACTGCAGATTCAGATTAACCCATTTGTGCCCAAAGAC